TTGTCTCTGAAAGAAACGCAAAATCAGGGAGATGGATTCTGATGCAATCCTTAAGCTGGGAAATTGTAGAGGGTCCTCTCCATCCTCTACAATTCCACACCAGAGCTTTCATTGGAAACTTGGGACCAATTATGGTTGGTTCCCTCCACCACAACAAGAGTTGGTTTTGCCTCCATTTTATGTTTTATTAACACTAATTACTCTTATCAGCCTCCTCGTCTATGCTAGACAACACCTCATTGGTTCTTTTATTGTTCCCCTTTCCTTTCTCTTTCTTAATGACATCAGTTTCATCAATGTGCATTTGTTCTGGAACAACATGCCTACTGGTATTCACTTCCTTAGTAGCAGCTTTTTCCTGTTAACAGTTCTTCTACCAATGGTAGAAGCTTGCACATTAACCCTCCACCAGGTTAGACTCAATGTGGACCATAGGTTCCATGGAAGGAGTACTGATATTTTGACTCAAGGGTTCAGTAACCAAAGCACCCTTAGATAGACCAGGGTTCTCAGGTCCCTCCCCTTCTAAGTTGGCTTTACCCTTCTCAGCATGGCTGATAGGGGTAGAACTTTGGATATTTCCACTACTACTTTTATCTCTCACCACACTTTTGTCTATGGGGTGAATGGGGGTGGGAATAGTAGCCTCAGGACTAGCTTGACTACCTAAGTTAGCCCCACTGTGGCTCCTAAAAGAACTAATAGGGGAGCTGCTAATTCTCAGCCAATCTCCATACTGCCCCAACTTACGTTCATTTTTATCAATGTCTTCTTTCTTCTTAGCACAACTCCTATCACAATGGCCTATCACCCCACAGTAGAAATAAAAACTTTGGATATTTTCATATCGTAAGTCAACCCATTTTTTATCCTCCCCCATTTTTATGAATGTGCCTCTCAGAATTGGGTCCGAGAGTGGGAGTTCAAAAAGAATTTTCAGATTTTGCCCATGATAGTTGCCTATTCCAGGGACTTGGACATCTAAGGTTTTCCCCAACAATCTACCCAATTTAACCCATGTTTCAGCTGAAATCCAATGGAGAGGCAAATTTAGGATTTGGACCCAAATTTTAATTTTCTCATCCTCTTCATTGAATTCATTGTTCTCAGAGTTCCATGGTTTCAGAAGAAGGTATTGACCACCAAAGTTCCAAGTTTTACCTTCTAGAATCTTATCTCTATCATATTCAGATTGGAAGAGAAATTGAAACTTATTATTACCCACTTTTTTAATTGAGAAAGGCTTATCGGTAACCCAGGTACTACTGATGGTAGTTTTGAGACCACTAAAGTTAACCTTTTTCTCCCAAAAATCTTCCCAATGAGACTTAAACTACAATCCTGAATTCCAATGGCAACATCATCTACTGAAAGAACTAATCCCCCTTCTTCTTTATCAGATAATTCAAACCGTTGCAGCTTAGAAGATATATCTTGATCCATCACTCTCTAAAATGACAACCTAATCCCAACAAACAACACAAGACACAAAATGATGCAACCCTAAGTCACAACCCTAGAAAATTAGCACAATAACGCATAAAAATCCTAATCTAGAAACCCCAGCAAGCAATAATGTCACAATCCAAAAACAAGTTTTAGTGAAACATCATGAACACCCGTCATATGTTTACTGGCATAACCAAGCGAAACAAGAAATATGGGAAAGCAAAGAACCTGGAAGGCAAAAATTCGATCTAGTATCAAAACAGGAGGAAACAATCGACCAAACAGGTGGAAATCAGCCGAAGAACGAGAACCCAAGAATACAAATCCTAAAGAGGAACTTGGTCTCTAGAAAGAGAAAAACCCTAGATAGAGGGACTTTAAAGTGAAAGTTGTAGCCTTATTTCTTATCTTTTTAAGCATACAATAATCATGTCAATTGAAGGTCTGTAGCATGAGTTAAATGATAAATACTGAGGTGTTGTTTATATCATAAGTAAGTCTCTGACAGAATTTATAAATTAAATGTTTTGTGTTTAAACTCTTTGATGATGTCATTGGTTGCCAATGTGATCTTCAACAAAGTTGTAGATATTTGAGTTATCTATCATGTGGTTTTTGAATCTCATTAAAAGCATGTTTATAGCTTCAGTTATCTAGCAATTACTGAAGTCTGGTCAGTTACATGTTCTTAATTTTTGACTGCTACTCTATTTTGGATGTTTGTTGAACTATCTCGTGGTAAATGACCTTATTTATTTTTTATGTCTTCATAAGTATTGTAGAGGCATGTGTTAGAGTTCAAATACAACTGGATTCATGATTATATGATATATGTGCTGCAAGTTGTGTTGTTGCGGGTTAAGTTTTGAAAAACTTCTGTTGTACCTTTGAAATTGAGTTTTACTTGTTAAATGCATGCCTATAGGACTCAGATGTGCTGAGTGGAATCCATGTATGTTGCTATAAGTTGTTTGTGTGTTGGATAGTCATTTATAGGACTATTTTAATATATGTAGGTGTTTTACGAGCTGAGCTCATTGCCTACACTTGTTTTTGTGTTATCTCGAACTTTCGACCAGGTGGGTACAGTTTGTTGTATCTATAATTATCGCGATCGTTATTTTGTATAATTGTTTGTTTCGATAATTGTTGTATGCGTGAGAACTCTAGTCTAAGTGTCCCGTTGATAGTGCATTTGATGAATGCATAAGCAATGAGAGGTCACCTTCCCATTGTATCCAAGAGGAGGACACCCTGATCGGTGTGTTTTTCGGGGGGTAAAAACAACCACATTGTCTCCTGGAAAGGATCCCTTAGCCCGTTGTATCCGGGGTGGGAAGGTTTCCGATTACTCCTTGCCGATGTCTGATCGGAAGGTTATTGTATGTACATAGGAGGTTTGCGATAGGGCCATGTAGGGAGTTAGACCTTGGATTATGTGCATACTTTATATATGGTTTTGAATCTTTATGCGGGATATATTGTAACACCCCGAGTTTTATTAAAAAAGGAAAATACTAGCTTTTAATTTTAAGCTAGCCTTTGTTAATAAATAATCATGTTCATGTTCAAGTTCAAGTTATTCAGTTAATTATATTCCAAGTCCGACTATTAGTCGATAAATTATTCGGTTAATTATTTCAGTAATCGAATAAGTTTCCAGATTTAATTCCAATTCGTTTATTAATTAATGAGTTCAGAATTAATAAGTTAAATTGACGAATTATTCAGAATATCAATATTCGGATTAATCGTCCAAGTCAAGAATTCGAAATTATTATAGTTAGAATTAATTATTTCAGTCAAGATTCTTCGAAATTATTTTCGAAGTCATGTTCACGTTCGGATTAATTTTGGTATTTAATTACCAAGTTAGTCAATAAATCATGTATTATCAAGAAATTAAGCATGTTAATTATGCTTAATTAATTCCATAATCAAGCTTAAAGCCATTAATTATGTCAAGAAATCCCTTTAAAGCCGTGAGCAAAAATGTTGGGGAAAATTTCACAAATTCATGTAACACTCATTTTCCATTATTACTTAAGCATGAGGTGTCTTCTCCTTAAGCTTCCAACTAATGACTAAGCTTGCTTAGTTGGTGACTAAGCTAAGTTTTGTTCTAATTAAGCCATGTGTATGGCATTTGGAGGCAAATTATTGGTCACCTCTTAAGCTAATTTACCCACCTCCTCATCTTAGCTTTCGGCTATAGTATATATATGTTTAGTGTTGGGGCAATTTTCCTCATTTTCAGCCATATACTTCACTTAAGCTAAGTTTGTTTGAGAGAGTTAAGTAAGGAGAGTACCGCACGCAAGCCACACCGCAAGCACGCTAGAGACGCCGCACGCACGGAAGCTCCGAGTGGTCACGAGCACCTTGTGCGATCAGGCGAGCAAGTGAAAAGGTAACCTCGGTTTATTCTTGCTTGAGGTTGCTAAAGTCATGTTAGATCAATTTTGCTTAAGTCATGTTCTCGATATGGCCATAAGTTACGTTCGGCCGTGCGTATAACCTGTGTCAAGTCATGTTCATGTTTGATTCAAAATCACTCGAGCTATTGTCATGTATTCAGTCATTTTATGTTATATCATGTTCAGTTAAACTCATGTGCTCGAAGAATTTTCATGTTTAATCGTTGAGTTTGCCAAAGGGCGTGGTCGCGCACGTAGCGCGCACCACGGGCCGTGCATGCTTAGCGATCATGTTAAGTGGTAGTCCTCCGAGCAATTCATGTCAATTTGTTCAGTAAACAGT